CTGGTGCTCAGGCCTCTCGTGCCTCACTCTGCCTCTCTGAGCCCCTCAAGTTCCCCCTCTCTGCGATATGCCCACAGAAAAACATACCCTTGTCATATCCACAGCTCCCCGTCCTTCTAGAGTAAAATAGTGGGACACAGAGTGACAGCATTTAGGCCCCTTAATAACCTTCCACGTTTCCTTCTCCAAGTTTATCTTTTGTGGATGAGATACCAGAGATCTAGGCTGGCCTGACCTCCCTGGGGTCACAGACAGCTCACAGCAGCAGGGACCAGGACCCCCGGAATGTGCCATCTGCTGGTCCCATGCAGTGGCCTTCAAGACGCCCCTCCTGAAGAGGCCCACAGCTGAAAACAGCTGAGGACACGGGCACAGGGTGAGGCAGGAGAGGCCCTGGGGGTGGGAAGCTGGTCACTGGAGCACCCACCCCAGCTCTTAGTGCAGCACGCCCCCACCTCACAGGGACCTCTTCAGAAAATGCCACCTGGGCTGTCACCTGGGGACCAGCCCCACCTCCTGATTTTTCCACTCGTGCACCAAGAGCTCCTGCTTGAAGCAAACTCAGAGGTGGCAGGACAATTTTTCCTAAATCAGATTTCACCATATACCAGGGTTGCAAGGCTGCCGAGCACAGGCTGCCTCCGCTCCTTCCGTAACCTGAATTTCCTGGGCAGCAAGGCTCGGTGGTAGGGTGGGAAGGGAGGAGGCCCCACTGTCCTACTGTCCGACCCACTGCACTGGCAGTGCTTCCTCCACGTCTGACCTGAGAGCCTCACAGTTAGAAAGAAAACCAGGGCCACGCGCACTCCCAGAAAGGGAGCTGCGTTTGATGTCCCCAGCAGGGATAAGGAGAGTGCACATGGTGACATCCTCCTCCAGACCCTGCCCTCACTGTGGGAGGACAGAGCTGCTGGGACAAGGAAGCCACATGTGGCACTGACCTTGACTAAAGGCTACATACCACAGCATATCATTCAGATCCTTGGACATCATCCATGCCAGGTCAAACATCACCATGGCTGACTGCAAGAAAAAGAGAAGCCTGAGTCCAGAGACAGCCACGCCCACAGAAGGGGCCATCCACTGGGGCCAGGCCAGACCTGAATTGCCCAGGGCCCAGCCAAACTCCTGCACATCAAGGGTCTGCCCAACCACATATGTGTGGATTCTAGGCTAAACTGAGGAAGACAGAGTCACTCGAGTGACCTGAACTGTCTCCTCTGCTAACTGAAGTCATTATTATGCACATACTCCATCCAGCTGGGGAGGGCAGCCAGGTGCAGCATGTGCTAGGGCCTTTACACATTCCTTGGACCCCTTGGTGTTACCCAAGGGAGGCACTGAATTTGGGAAGTCAGGGACCACATCATCCTCATGACCCTTTGTCCACAGGCTCTTCCTGGCTGGCTGGTGGCCTCTAACACATTTCAGAGACGACCAGGTGAGGCAGGGCCTCGGTTCCAGTTACCTGGATATTAAAGAGGGAGGGGGCCTTAGGACCCCTTGTGAGGCAGGTCTTCCTAACATGACTGTCCATGGGTGGAAGCACACAGCTCCTTGCGAGCACAAGGTCTGTGTTTTAGTAGAAGGCAATGAAGGCGGCTCAGTGTCCGACTAGAAGACACTAAAATCTCCTAAGCTGTGAGAGACTGGACCTCCTTCTATGAAGAGGATTTCCAAGGGAACATCCACAGATCTGAAGGGACCTGGGTACCCGCTGCCCCGTCTGCACCTTCTCAGAGTGAGTATCACCCATCTACCACCCACTGGTTAGACATATCCATTGGCCAGGGCAAAGCAGAGGAGGCAAAAGGTCCCACTGTCCTCCTTCGAAGGACAATGGGACCTCGACATAAAAGGGACACTAGAGAGATGCTGTTCAGAGTTCAAGGCCCCAGGGCCAAATGCAAAGACCAAATATGGCATGTTCTACTGGAAACTTAGTTTCCAGGCCTCCTGAAGGCCCTGAGCTCTGCTCAGCACTACTGGACAAACAGAGTAGCTTCTGTATATGAAATTCTGTTCCATAATGCACACGGAAGAGGCTTTGTAAGTCTACAGTCTTATCTTCTTTCACAGAGGCTAATACAGACTAGTCGTATATTTTTAACTATGAATAAAAATAATCACTGGTGTTCTTTGGGCACGTAATGGGTGCGAGGAGTCATCCTAACAACTGCCTCTGAAGTGAAGATTGTTCTCCTTCTTTAATGGAGAGGAGGAATTTAAGGCTCAGAGATGCTCTACCACTTCCCCAAGGTCACACAGCAGGAAACTGTAGGGCTCAGATTCAAACTACACTTTTGTAGCTCTAAAACCCATGCTCATTCCTCATGTTTCAGGACCCTGACCTTGCCCCAGTGGGAACTCTGTAGTGAATTCTACCTATATCCATACTTACCGATGTCCCGTGATACTCGTACTGCTCATAGTCAAAGAGGATGTCTCTTCTGCAACAAAATAAAGTGCGACATAAAACGCGGATCTTCACCAGAAAGCTCAGGAAGCCAAAGATGCGGGGAAAATGGTAAAATTGGACAACACTCAAAGAAATGCAACTAAAGTCACGGTGCCTTTGTTTTCACTCATTGACTCCTCCTTGGAGTGTACGGGCACAAGGCTGGGAAGGGAGCGATAAAAATACAAACCCCTTGCGGCGATGGAAGATGTACAGCGGCACAGTCCCAGAACCCCACTGCCGAGGGGTTATCCCAAGACAACCACTCCAAGGAACAAGCAAGACCGAACTTGCTGTGTGCACAAGGTTGTTCACTGTGGCCTCCTTGTCATGGCAGAATACTGAAGCAGTACACAGTTCAGAAAGGAGGAGAACAGCCAACTAAGTACTATGTGCTTATGAAAGGCTGTTTGGATCTAAAAGGGTATATTAGGTGGGAAAAAGCAAAATTAGGCACCTATTATGATTATGTAAAATATGTGCAAGTAGAAATAATCCAGGAAGAGCAATCCAAAGCCAGAACCTCTTCCCTTTAGTGAAAATAGATTATATTCACTTTTCTAATACACTTCCCAAAATAGTTTGACATTTTCCTTCCACAAGGAACAGCAGGGCACAGCAGCCTGACCTTGAACAACTGGATCCAGCAAGGAATTCCCAGCCGGGGGCATTGCTGCATGTTCGCTTCAAGCTATAGAATAACCTATCCAATATTTTTATTTTAGAGCACTTCAGGTTTTAAATTTGCAATGTGAAAAGGAATTATGGATAACTTCATTTTTTCATATTTTTGTTCCTATGAAAAGTTCTATATAATTGGCATCTAACTCATTTGTAAAAATTCGTAAATAAAAGGTATCTACATCTAGAAAATAATAAAGATAAAAGAACCAGGGCCGTCACCCTTAACAGATGGCATGTATTTGGGAGAACTTTGGGCCTGTTTCTGTCACTCATGGGACCAGGACCACTACAAAAAGGACCCAGAGTTCTCCAATCAGGGATCACATGATCACTACCCACTGGCCCAGTGGTTCTACACTAAACAAATCATCCTCAAATGGAAAAAAATGCATGCAGCTTCCATGGAAAAAACAGGTGCCAGTGACGCCATAGATGCTCAGGGACAACGGGGTACTGCTTGAAATGCACACTCACCTCCGGGCTTCCCACTCTCTTCGTTCCCTCCTTTTCATGGTCTGTGCTACTATCTCCTGATACAGGAACAAAGAAAAGGGTAAGCAAATGAGCCAGGACTGCATCACCACAGCCTGAGAAGGTTCTGATTTGACGGAAGCCACTGGGCCCGGATCCAAAACATGGGTCATGCCCAGCCCCGAGCACAACCTGCTCCTGCAGAAGGGAGATGCCGCGGGGATGGCTGGGACCCCTCTGGCCCATCAGCACTGAAGATGCTGACGAGAGTAAATGCTTCCACAGTGTCTGCTCAGGCTACACTCTGTCTACCTCAGCTTTCTATTGCCCCCCACCATGATCTGGGATGAGTGCACAGCCACCTCACACTGGCATCCCCACCAGGTTAGTAAGAGCTAATGTTTCTTACATCCCAACACGTGTCAGTGACTATTGTAATTTTACAAGCACAATCTCATTTAGTTCTCACAGCCAAGGAGTGAGGTAGTGTGGCAGTTTTAAACGTCACAGTTCTGAGACTTCTGCTTCTAGGAAGATGTGATAAACATATTTTTCCCAGTATGTCCATTAACTGTACCTAAAAAACCTAATGTTATATGTAATATGAAATAAGATTCTGAAAGGTGGAGAGAAGAAAGGCTCACCAGCTAGGGACCCCAGGGCCCCAGGACCTAAGGAAATGACACACTGATAAATTCCCTGGGTTTATTTTTGGCTCATATATCCCAAACTTGGAGCTGAAGAAGCTAGTAACCTAATAACACCAAGTACAGGCAAAACAAAACAAAACAAAACAAAACCCCAACAAAAGCCAAAGTATCAGGAAGAAACAGCCTTCACATGCAAAATACTTGTAGACAGTAACTGCTCTACGCCAGCCAACACCACCCAAAATACCATGGCCTCACCCCCATCTACCCCAGTAAATGTCGAACACCTCCCTCCCACCTGTAACATTTCCCAATATCCCCACTGAGGGGGGCACCCAAGAAGCCCAAGCAGGGAGACTAGACTGTCCTTGCTCAGTGGTAACGTGGAGCCGATCCCCCCAGAGATGAGATCCCCCCAGAGATGAACGGAGGTCAACTGGGGAGCCTAATTTCTACCTCTGCCTGGCTGTGAAGAGTGCACACCGCCCACCGCCTCCTTTGCCAGAGTAGTACCGGAGGGAGTAGGTAAAACAAAACGTCCATATAAGAACCAGAGTCTCCTAACATAATACAAAAATGTCCAAGCTTCACCTGAAAAATCACTCATCGTGTGAAGAACAGGAAAACAAACTGAATACAAAAAAGGAAATCCAACACCAAAATGACAGCAATGTTAGACTTATGTGACAAAGATTTTAAAGCAGCCATCATATCAACACTTCGACAAGCAACTACAAATGTACTTGGAACAACAGCCAGCTCTGCCACTGCTGCTGACTCCTGAAGCTTCTTCACCAGAGTCCTTGAACTCTCTGGCCTTCTTTTTAATCTGCTGCACTGAATCACTGGTGTGCCCCACCACATCAGATGCGGCCATGGACATCAGCTCTGAGATCACCACCAAAGACTTAACAGAGAAGGAAGGTTTGGAGGAAGCAGAGAATGGACGAGATGCACTTGCTAATAGGAATGCCAATGAGGAAAATGGGGAGCAAGAGGACGACAATATGGTAGATGAAGAAGAGAAAGGAAGAGGGGAGGAAGAAGAGGGAGAGGAGGAAGAAGGCGTTGGTGAGGAAGAGGATGAAGATGAGGTGGCTAAAGCAGCTAAAGGCAAAAGAGCAGCTAAAGACGATGAAAATGATGACGCTGACACCAAGAAGCGGAAGACTGATGAGGATGAACATATAGCAAAAAATAAAAAGTTAAACTAAAAAAAAAAAAAAAGACTGCCATGACCTATGCACCCTCTGCTTCTCCTCCCAGAATCCCAAGGCGGTGGCCCTGGAGCAGAGTCCTGTCTGCCCTCCTGCTGGCAACACAGGCTCTCCACCACCCGACCCAACCGCAGCGTGAATTTGCAACGCAGGAGGGTCCCGGCTTTTTTTAATTAAAATTACTCTTTAAAGAATTTTGGATTTTTAATTTACATTTTATTTTTTCATACACATGTATTGTTAGGGATCAGCCACTTTGAATAAACTCAGGATGACCAAACCAGCCTGTGGAGTGTTCGCTGTCTTACTTCTGACTTTACCTGTGGTGGCAAGCAAATTCATTACAATCTCAGAGGAAACAAAAACCTTGTAAAAAAAATCTTATTCTGAGCATTCCAGTAAGTTTTTTTATTTTACTTAGCTGTACTATAAGTAGTTGGTTTGTACCATATGGTTAAAAAGGCCAAAGATAAAAGGTTTCTTTTTTCCTTTTTTTTTTTTTTGCCTATAAATTGCTATTTATTTATTTTTGGCCAATAGACGAAAGCTCTACCATACTCTGGCATCTCGTCAAGACCCCTGACTTTCTCCTAGTGCTACACCCGCTACTCAGTTCTCACCTGCCCACTTCCCCCATCAAGTGTCCACGGCCACGTTCATACACCGCCAAAGCCACTCCCGGTCAAGCCTCTTACCTTGCTGTATTTTTTCTCATAATATCTCACCCTGAAAACATGCTCTGTTTATGCTGATTTACATGTTCCTTATCTGTCCCCACCACGAGAAAGGAAGTTTCATGAACACAGAACTTTGTTTGCCCCTTGGTATCCCAGAGCCTGACCAGTATGGGGCGAAGGGTAAGTGAAAATGATACTTGGGGCCCAAGGAAAAGCAGCTCATCAACAATTAAAAGAACACTATAAAAAAGAAGCATTCAGAGGACATCTAAGGGCTCACAGAAATCAAAGATTCGAAGATAAAAACCAAAGGTCTGTCAGAAAGTAGAATAGATAAAAAGCCAGGAAGGAGGAAGGAAAATCTGAGCGTGCCTGATGGTCCCCACCAGATCACTCAAACTTGAGAGAAAGGAGTGGGCAAAGGGGAGGAAAGCAAGGAGACATTCCTGGCTTTGCAGGACACACCTGCCCCAGATGCACAGTGTCCCAAATATGGCTCATAAGGGCTCTGCTAAAGCATGGTATTTAGAGATGCCAGGCCCAGGATGAAGGGCATACCCGAGAACATTCCCGAGGCAATTTCAGCCTGCACACCAAGGATCAGGAGCCAGAGAGCATCAGCTTGTCAACACTAAGCACTAGAATAAAGCATGGCCTCCGTGTTAGAGGAACAACTACCTCCCACCTGGAATTCTACATTTCCGAAAGCCAGGCCCCAGATCTAGCACTGGCCAGGCCCCAGATCTAGTCTAGTAAGTGGCTCAGATCCAAGAGGCACAAGCCATGTCTTTGCGCACAGGTGCTTCCCCTGCAGTGACCATCTGGGACCAAGCCTGGCCGAGGGCCACAAACCCATGGTGCTACTCCATGGTGACCACACAGGAAGCAATTCTGGAAGGAGGTGGGAAAGGGAGGTAACACTTAGGCAATTTATTGTTTCTCCGTATCACTTTTTATAAACGTTTGCTGTCCACGTGCACAACTGAGCTCTTCTCTCTTTCATTTCATCTGGGGTTCTACTGTACAGATAAGAACACTGTGCCTCAGAGAAGTCCAGTAATCTGCCACGCAGCCAAAACACAGCACCCACACCTGCCGCCTCCCATCTAAGTCTGGGCCCAGCAGGCTCTGGACCGACCTCTGACCCCTCGAGAGACAAATTTCTTAAGATTGGTAAGCAGCCCAAACGCACCTCTTCTAACCCTTCTAACCGTGTGCGCTTCTCGGAAGGCTCTGACCCATCATCCTTTTCATTTTCCGAATGTTCTTCATCCTCCTCTGCATCCCTGAAGATGTCATCGTAGGCAGGAACTTCAAGGTCATCATCTTGTTTAATGAGTAGTTTGATCTAAGAATAAAACAAAGAGCAATCAAGTCTCTCTCTCTCTGTTGACAAAAAACTATTCATCATGTTAATCTCTTGAAGAATCTTATTTCCTAGTTGGGTGACTCATAACTTTTCTGTACATACAAGTAGCCACCTGTCTGTAATTTCAAACTTTCTTGGTATTTAAAAATTTTCATTTCCATTAAGTGAGGTGCTGGAGTTGCACCGCACTGTATGCAGAAATTACAAAACCTTGAGAACTATCCATAGCCACCAAGTCTGGAGAAAAACTCCCTCTTATGCCCCATACCAAGCCAACAAAATGAACAACCCCAACTTGGCCTGACAAAGGACATGAAGATGGGCAAGTCCAAAGTGAGTAAAACACCTGCCCCTAAAAGCCACTCCAGGCAGGTTGATTTCTCTGGGAGAAGCCTTTCACGTTAGAATTCCAAGGCTGACTCTTCGTTAACATGGGTGGGAGAAGATCAACTCAGAGAAAGGTTGGGTAGCTGCTGTGTGCCAGGCTCCCTGCTTGCTGCTCAGGAGTTCAAAGAGTAAGTGCAGCAGAAGCATTTTAGGCTGACGGTGGCCTTTCCCACCGCTGTTTTGCTGGTCCTCATGCCGCCCCTTGGATGGGCAGGGCAGATGCCTCTGAGTCCCCTTGATATTTAATGAGGCTGAGCTGTGTCTGAGTTCTGAGGGCAGACTCAGTATAGGGTTCTGATCCCTATAGCTTTCCGGTCAAACAAATCCTACAAATGCACTGAGCAACTCCAAGGATTAGATGTCACGTTTCTCATCAATGATACACAAAACCAGGTTTTTGTCTTGCTAGGACCACCGGATACAATGCTGTCACTGGCATACAAGGGAACAGACAGAGAGATGGGAGAATGCAGGAGACGGGTGGGCCCCAGAGGCCTAGTTACCTGGGTATCATTGTACACATTCACAACATTGACCGGCCTATGGGTATCACACACAAAAAATACAGAGTCTTCATCAGGTTGGAGGATATCCAATAGGTCTGCATTAGCTCCACAGTTAATGAGGATAAAATAACGGAACTGGGGGAAAAAAAGAGATATCATGAATGAAGTTAAATACATGGAGAGGGTCCCTTTACCTTCAGTGCACTAGGCCTCTGAGTCCTAGTGAGACACATCAAACCCCTAACACTTGGCAAGGCCTGATGGCAAGGGGCTCCAAACAGGGCCAGAGCTGGCCTGTACTCAGTGCTTTAACATACTCCATATACTATTTCATTTCCATCACAATACTGTGAGGTGTCCTATGGTTGTTCCCGCTTCACTGTAGAGCATGCAGAGGCTCAGCACACCTGGGTCTCACGCACTGGAGACCCAGAATTTGATGAGGGTCAAGAATTGGATGAGGAGCAGACCAAGACTTCAAAGGTATAACTGGGCCTCGCCAGATCTCAATCATTCAACTGTGATGAGCTGTCTCCCCATGCTAATAGTATTCTATAGGTTTAAAATTTTAGCAAATCTTGGGGAGCCCATACTTAACAGATACCTAAATATTGAGTTTTTATTACACCTCATCGCTATAGAAAACCCTTTCCTTATAAATACAGAACTCTGGCTGAGGTCCCTCCCATGATGACAGGAGCTCCAGGCCAGGATTTACCTCTGCCGGGCAGTCCTACATCCAGCCAGAGACTACAGGAGCCCTCTCTCACACTCCAGTCTCCTCCACAGGGTCTCGAATGGCCCAACTCTCGTTATAGCCCCGAGCAGAGGTGAGAGAAATCCTGACTTCTATTGTTTAAATTATGTTCTGGATTTCAAGTTGGAAACTAGAACATATCTTCTTGGAGAAGTAATATAAAATAATGGTCTAATATAAAATATAATTTTTAACTAAGCCATATCTAAAACAAACTGCTAAATTTCAATGACCTTACAGTGAAATGTCTGCAACACAAATTCAAAGTTAGAGGCCATCCATGTTCACTACCTTTTTTGGTTGTCTTGACTTGAAGGTAAGTCAACCAGACATAAAGCTTATATTTCTCTTCCATATTGCCTAATATATTTGATATTAAATAATAAGTTGTAGTTGAGTTTAAAAAGCCTAATTATTCCAAAGTATGTTTTGCATACCTGTTCTTTATGTTCAAGAAATGCAGTTTCAAGTTCTTGCCAACCAGAGACCGGAACCAGTGTATACTGTACGTGGTCGCACTGGAACAGGGCCTGGAGGGAGTATTTGAAGGCCTATTACATTTGGAATGTCTTTAACTTACCTTGAAATGCACTTAAAAAAAAAATAAGATGGATCGAGAGACAAATCACATGTGATAAAGTAAAGTTAGTAGCCCTGGCTGGTGTAGCTCAGTGGATTGAGTACGGGCCTACAAACAAGAGGATCATGATTCCATTCCCAGTCAGGGCACATGCCTGGGTTGCGGGTCAGTTCCCAGTGGGGGACGCACAAGAAGCAACTATACATTAATATTTCTCTCCTCTCCTTCCCTTCCCCTCTACAGATAAATATATAAAATCTTTAAAAAAAAAACAAAACAAAAGTAAGGTTAGCAAAATGTTAATGGGAAAAACTAGGGGATGGGGATGTGAGTGTTTACTATACTATAAACTTTGTCGAATATTTTTAAATTACCATTGGGAGAAAAGGTGATCTTATTTCTAGGTTTCTTTTTTTTAAGACTTTATCTATTTATTCTTAGAGAGAGGGGAAGGGAGGGAGAAAGAGAAAGACAGAGACATCGATGTGTGAGAGAAACAGCAACTGGTTGCTTCTCGTCAAGGCCCTGACCCACGGATCCTGCAACCCAGGCACATGCCCTAATGGGGAATGGAACTGGAGACCTTTTGCTTTGCAAGATGACACCAACCAAGCCACACTGATCAGAACTTTTTAGGTCTGCTTGGAAGTAGTTCCTGAAGCAAGGGTCTGATCAGAGCTCACATAAACTTCCATCACACCATATTCAAAATCTAACCAATGACCTTCCTTCCATAATAGACTACCCTGCATTTCCAGTATTGCTTATGGTACCACTATGCCCTAGATTGTCACCAATTCTTCTGTCTCAAACCCCATGTTTCAGAAGCCACTACAGGTCTCTCTAATGCAGTCATTTTTTTG